TGGTTGGTAACGTTTTGATGAAAGCCTCATAAAAATCGGCGTCAGTTTGGTGTGTTGAACTAGATTTAGAGAACCCGTGTTTCTCACTTCGAAAACTGAATGGGGCCAGCTCATTTATTCGTGTACCAGACTGAAAAAAATTAAAACGTTTATAGCGACCCTTGTTTTCCATACATATATATATATAATTTATATATATATATATATATATATATATATATATATATATATATATATATATATATATATATATATATATATATATAGGGCACAAAATAAAATTCTAATTCTGCGGGGGGGGGGGGGGGGGCTTTTTTTTCTAGTTCCTCCACTGACTTTAACTAAAGTATTTAATACCATTGAATATAAACTAATTTGGTATTGTTGTAAATTGACCAGCACGTGATATTAAAATAACAACAAACCAAAATGACAACAATGGTCACGATTTAGGTGAAAATATTGAGTCATGGGGGTTGGTTAACAACAGATGGAAAGACTCTTTATGTAAGTGAGCTCAAGCTACTTATAGCAGAAATGTGAATTAGATGTGAACTGTTGTCATGCCCCAATAATATTCCCCTCCAAGGGTTCCCCATACCAGTTTTACTTTGTTAACGTTTACGAGGCTTTGTAAAGAGATTCCTGGTGCTAGATTGTGAGATGTTCTGTGCATACATGGATGAGAGCCATGAACACTCAATACATGCCCCTAGAGATGGATCCGGGCCCTTGAAATAAGATGTCTGATGTCCTTATGTACGCCTATGGGGGGGGGGGGGGGGGAGGGGGGGGGGATATAGTGAGGGTAACAAAATAGAAGATGTCTGGATGACTTCTGGGACTGGACCGGACGGTCTTCTGCAAATTCACTTTAATATCTTTATTTTCAAATAGAAATCATTACATCAACAGATACAAATATGTGTGTGTTTAACATTGTGTGTATTTAACATAGTTAAACATTAACAAACATTTTCATTACATGAACAAAATGGTGAACATTAACTTTTACGAGGCTTTGTAAAGCGATTCCTGGTGCTAGATTGTGAGATGTTCTGTGCATACATGGATGAGAGCCATGAACACTCAATACATGCCCCTAGAGATGGATCCGGGCCCTTGAAATAAGATGTCTGATGTCCTTATGTACGCCAATTGGGGGGGGAGGTGGGGGGGATATAGTGAGGGTAACAAAATAGAAGATGTCTGGATGACTTCTGGGACTGGACCGGACGGTCTTTTGCAAATTCACTTTAATATCTTTAGTTTCAAATAGAAATCATTACATCAACAGATACAAATATGTGTGTGTTTAACATTGTGTGTATTTAACATAGTTAAAACATTAACAAACAAGCCGTGATTTACTTACTACGTCATGAAAAAACATGTGATACTTATTTTAATAGTTTGCATTTTATATTGTCTGCTGTCCGTCGAAATTGTCTGTGTATTGACTGAGTCTTGATCTAAGTCTCGACGTTAAGATATCATTGACAGCTTTGTCTGTATATTTAAATCCGTCATACTTATCTTATTTCGTAAATACCAGACTAGCGATCTAAAGACGGCTGTCGCAATCAGTTTTATTTTTTATTTTTATTTTTTTCGAGCCGAGTCTTGCCAAGCGGTGAAACCGCACAAGCAGCATCGAGGACATAGGACGACGGCGCAGCTCAGTTTTATTATTTTTTTTTTTAAATGTTCTGTTTAAAAAAGGGTTTGTTAACTTATAATACAGTTTGATAGGTTTGAAAGAAAATATAATCACTACAGCTCCGACGGTAATCAGTAATGTCACTTAAAAGTTTTCTCAACTGTACAAAATACAAGTTACCTTTTTTTAAAGCTTTCCGATTTGTAAAAAGGGAAGATTAATAAAAAAAAGTTGCAATAAATTATAAAACTTAAAAATTATTCAGCTTTGCATATATATTTCAAATCAAAAATGAACACTATTTTGCATATTATTTTTCAATGAATGTAAATATAATGTTTAGTTATGTTTTGTAACCAAACAAATGTATTACCTCCATTAAAATGTTTAAATTATAAGAACGGGAAGTAACTGTTACAAGTAACAATAATTGCCTAAAAGCATTCAAATAGTGAATGTTGTGGTGGTGCAAGACACATACGTCGCAAGGCAGAAATATGCTTTTCCCTCGTAAAGGGAGGGAGGGGGGTGGTGACCCCATTGTAAACTTGCTAACTATAGAGAAAACAATGATACATCCATCTGAGTAAGTTACAGAGGAAGAAAAGTTTAGTGGAATATGTTTAAGTAAATGAATGACCGGGTTGGCTGTGAGATAATGTGAACTTTTGAAAAGTTTAGTCAAATATTCTCAATACAAGTCAATCAGTGACCGGGATGGGTTTGAGACAATGTAACATTTCAAAAGGTTTAGTGGAATATTTTCAATACAAGTAAATCAGTTACCGGGGTTGGTTTGAAACAATGTCTAATTTACTTTTGTTTCCACGTGAGTTATATGTAGTTTAACAGAAATAAATTATTGTGTGTGAGGGGATGGTAGTATATATATATATATATATATATATATATATATATATATATATATATATATATATGAGATTTTCATTGGGAGCGGGGGGACGGTGGCATTTTGGGGTGCTGCACCTTGTGACACCCGACTTAGTGACGTCACTTGTGCAAGTATTAGATTTATTGAAGTTAAATTTGGTGGATGTGATATTGTGATGGCGATATTTGTGCAAATATAATATCGACTGTTGACAAACCAGCGATCAGAAATCTAATACATTTTTTTTTATGTCTCAGTTTTTTAATCTTTATCAGCGATCCTCCACGTTGTCCCGCAGGCATCCGATGTTACATTACTTTGTTCATCATTCGACATATGATGACTGGTGTAGGTTTACAATTTTCAACTGTTACATTACTTTGTTCATCATTCGACATATGAGGACTGGCGTAGGTTTACAATTGTCAACTGTTACATTACTTTGTTCATCATTCGACATATGATGACTGGTGTAGGTTTACAATTTTCAACTATCCTGTTGGCTTTCGTACATAAAATTACATATAAGTAGGCCTACATAGTGTTATAGATGTTGGGGAGTTGTGAATTACGTTTGCTGGAGTAAGTTGTTGTACCTGAAAGAAAACGAAAGCATGGTGAAATCGGGTTTTTAGGGTAGAGTGTGGGACGGTAGGGAGGAGGGAATGCACCAAAAGGCTGTCTGTGTAAAATGTTGGTCTGGTTCAGGTTGGGGTTTGGGATTCCCTGGAATAGAGCATGTATTTTAGAAGGGCGGGACAATGATTATAATGTACATTTTTATTTTGTTAAAAGAGGAAGTAGCATTCATCCTTTTCATTTACACCTACTACCCACCATAGTCCTCCCTTTTTTATTTATTTATTTAATATATAAATATAAATATTTACAAACATTAAAGTTAAGCATTACAGAAAACACAGAGAAATTTAGAACATGTGATAAATGGTGTAAAAGGGTAAAAGATGGAATAAAGGGAGACAGCCCCGGATTCCTGCCTCACTCTGCTCTGCAATTACGTGATGGCTTCCCCTTTCTGGGAACAAAGCAGCTAGAATAAAATAATCCTTAAGATCTTTTTGTTCGTCTTACCAGTGTTTCTTCCAGACTTTTTTCTCCGGGAGGCACTTTTAATTTTCGGGGGGGGGGGGGGGGGTAGACTTTCTTCGGGGGAGGACGACACTGTTAAAAGTATATATTTTCTACATAAATTATATATATTTCATTTCGTTCGGAGGGGGGGGGGGGCGGTAGAATTTGCCTGGAGACGCCTGCAAGAAACATATTGTGCTACGCAATAGATCACTGGTAAACTATACGATTCCTATACATCTTTCTATTATACGATCTGCACATTTTTTTCCTTTCTTAAGCCTGTTTTTTCTCGCATAATCATAAGAATTTGATCGGTTTCTTGTGTTATCGCTTTATATCATGTTTGTCTTAATTTGGCCTGTTCTCGAGAGTTGCTATTTGTTAATTGATAATGTATTTTTTTTTTTTGTTAGTATTAGTAAGTCTTTTACTACACATAATATATTACATGACTGTACAAAATGTCTTAGAGCAAATATCAAGTAGGTACTTCTACAATAGCCAGTAAACCTTGTACTGAAAATAGCATTGCATCCAATTTATTGTCAGTTGCATTTATCAGAGCCATAGAAATAAATCCAAATAAACTATGTGGTTCTTAATGTACCAGTACTGATTATTTCTTAGTTAAATTGAACTTGTTACAGGTACTTACAAATTGTAATTCTTAATGTCTCTTCATACTTGTCTGGCTGCTACTTTGATCCGAGTCCATTTTGACTGGTTTATGCAGAGCGGAGGAGATGTCAACCCATTACAAGGCCCTTTGTATCAAATCCTCAGAAGTTGGTTCTTTGTCTAAATCCCAGTGTGTAAATTTATCAAATGAGTGTAGCTATCAATTTTCTCTCTTCATCTTCTGTTGTTCTTTTGTGATGTTCTATTAATACTAAACCTGTAAATCCAGATGGCAAGTTTACTTCTACCCCATTTAAAGGTCGTCCTCTGAATGTGGCAGCAAGTTCTTTATTTCCATGTGTTGATTCGTCACATATTGTTTTTTTTTGGAAGAAATCAGATACCCTTGCTTTTCCATCAAAGTGTATTTCACATGGTATATAATGACAATTTCCTTTAGATGTGTCAGAAAGAGAGAGTGTGCTGTTTACATCTATCGTAGTAGCCATTTTTTATCTTTTTTATTTTTTTTTATTTTTGATATATGTAAACTTTTAATTCAGATTTACACACATGGCATTACCTCTTATCAGTGCATAAGGTAACATATGTATAGACATATGATGGTGATAGTTTACATGTGGAAGATGGTAAAATATGATATGTGTATACACAAGATGGTATTTCCCTTTTGCAGATATTTCAGGTAGAAACATAGTTACTGCAACATTGTACTATAAGCATTTCTGTTTTACAACATGTAGGGTCGTCGATCTAAAGCGCTCTTCAAATTTTTTTGCAGAGTTCTGGGAGCCATATCAAAAGCTGTTTGGTGATCATTATTTGTTATGTCTGTTCTGGCTCCATGATCTATTAACATTTTGGCAACTTCTCCATTGTGATCCTCACAAGCCACGTGAAGGGGTGTACAACCTGAGGCATCTCTGATATCTAAGTGTGCATTGTTGGATATGAGAAGCTGGACAACTTTTAAGTTGCCTTTGCTAGCAGCTCGATGGAGTGGTGTGTGACCAAGGGAATCAACACAATCAATATCAGCACCATGCTGGAGAAGTTTTTCTGAAATTTCAATGTGCCCTTTTGATGCAGAATAGTGTAGAGAACTTTGACCTGTACTGTTGACAGCATTAACCTGAGCATTATGAGCTAGCAGGTCTCTTACAATCTGAATACGACCAGCAGATGAAGCAATTATTAGCGGCGTCCACTGGGTCTCATCTCTTTCATCAACTGGAACATGCAAAGACGGAAGGTATTCAACAATATCAGTATGTCCTCTAGAAGCAGCCCAATGCAATGGTGTCCGGGAACTCAAGTCTTTTTTCGTTGCTAATTCGTTGTTGCTTTCAACTTTTAATTTTAAAAGAGAATAATTTCCTTCGTACGCATATTTGCAAACTTCGTCTGCCGCTGTTTAAACAGCCGCCATAGCCATTTTTTATCTTTTTTTTTTTTTTTTTTTTAAGCATTGAAGATTTAATAATGATAACCTAAGTGATTACTTATAATAGTATGTAATTGAAAACAATGGTTAAGATTAACCCTCCTTGCTCTTAAAAGTTAAAAAGACTTTGTAACTATTGATAGTGACTAAAACATGAATGTAGTATTTTATTTTGTATACTGACTTGAACATTTTTTATATAGGCATTTAGAAGTTATAGGTAGGTAAGAATGAATTTAAAACATTGCAGAAACTAGAAACATCAAAAGACCAAGGAGGGACAATATTTATCCTCTTAAATATTATTTTTATAAAAATGATCAGTAATACAATTGAGTTCTACACAAATTAGGCAATAGTACTTGTCACTGGCGATGGATACATAACCTTGAATTTTTGCCTCCACTGTAACCAACAAATTAGGTTGAAATGTGAACTTGTTCTATTGGTGTAGGACACCAATCTTTACATTTTTCCAACTATTTATACAACAGACAGAATATTAATGACATCCATGCACAAAATCATTCATTTCAAGAAGGGAATCCTATGAAGGATGAATAGAAGCATACATGAAAAATTTGTAAATGTATACATGCATTGTCCACGAATGCAAAAGTAAATTAAATGAAGATGACAAACTGAATGCAATTGATTAGGAAGCTAGCAAAAATAAAAATATTTAAGACAAAAAAACTCTTAACTAATTACAAAACATACAACCATCTCATTTTCTCAAATTTTAAAAAAACAATTTTATAGTTCCAGCATATAAAATTTTCACATTTTTTATCAAAAGAAAATAAAATAAATAATGTTTCGACCCAGAAGAGTAATGTCAATCAAAAGTTTTCTCAACTATTCAAAATTAATTTTACCTTATTTAAAGCTTTCTGATTTCTGAAGAAGGAAAAATAATAAGTGTAAATTGTAAGAAATTATATATCATAAAACTTATACAGTTTTGCAGAAACATTTCAAATGAAAAATGGAGAACATTTTGCATATTTTTTTTTTAAAATTAATGTTAAAATAATGTTTAATTATGTTTCGGAACCAAACGTATATATTACCGCCCTTAATATGTTTAAATTATAAAAACGGGAAATAACTGTTACAAGTAACAATAATTGCGTGAATGCATTCAAATAAGGATTATTGTGGTGGTGCAAGTCAAAGGCGTCGCAAGGCAGAAATATGCTTTCCCCAAGTCAGTGATTGATTAATTAAAGTTAAAAAGTCTATTGAGTACAAATTGACGACCTCGTAAAGGAAGGGAGGGGGTGGTGACCTCATTGCAAACTTGCTAACTATAGAGAAAACAATGATACATCCATCTAAATAATTTACAGAGGAAGAAAGGTTTAGTGGAATATTTTCATGTAAATGAATGACCGGGGTGGGTTTGAGACAATGTCTAATTTACTTTTGTTTCCACTTGAGTTATATGTGGTTTAATAGAAAAAAGTGTGTGTGAGGGGATGGTAGCACCAATTGCATTAACATATATATATATATATATACATATATATATATATATATATATATATATATATATATATATATATATATATATATATATATATATATATATATATATATGTGTGTGTGTGTGTGTGTGTGTGTGTGTGTGAATTTCATTGGGAGGGGAGGATGATGGTGACATTATGGGGTGCCGCACCTGGAGACACCCGACTTAGTGACGTCACGAGTGCAAGTAATAGGTTTATTGATGTTAATTTTGGTGGATGTGATATTGTGATGGCGATATTTGTGCAAATATAATATCGACTGTTGACAAACCAGCGATCAGAAATCTAATACATTTTTTAATGTCTCAGTTTTGAAATCTTTATCAGCGAGCCTCGACGATGTCCCGGAGGCATCCGCTGTTACATTACTTTGTTCATCATTCGACATATGAGGACTGGCGTAGGTTTACAATTTTCTACTGTTACATTACTTTGTTCATCATTCGACATATGAGGACTGGTGTAGGTTTACAATTTTCAACTGTTACATTACTTTGTTCATCATTCGACATATGAGGACTGGTGTAGGTTTACAATTTTCAACTGTTACATTACTGTGTTCATCATTCGACATATGAGAACTGGTGTAGGTTTACAATTTTCAACTGTTACATTACTGTGTTCATCATTCGACATATGAGGACTGGTGTAGGTTTACAATTTTCAACTGTTACATTACTGTGTTCATCATTCGACATATGAGGACTGGTGTAGGTTTACAATTTTCAACTGTTACATTACTTTGTTCATCATTCGAAATATGAGAACTGGTGTAGGTTTACAATTTAAAACTATCCTGTTGCCTTTCGTACATAAAATTACATATGTTGGGGAGTTATGAATTACGTTTGCTGGAGTAAGTTGTTCTACCTGAAAGAAAACGAAAGCATGGTGAAATCGGGTTTTTAGGGTAGAGTGTGGGACGGTAGGGAGGAGGGAATGCACCAAAAGTCTGTCTGTGTAAAATGTTGGTCTGGTTCAGGTTGGGGTTTGGGATTCCCTGGAATAGAGCATGTATTTTAGGAGGGTGGGACAATGATTATAATGTACATTTTTATTTTATTAAAAGTAGCATTCGTCCTGTTCATGCACACCTAATACCCAACAAAGTCCTATTTTTTAATATATTTCTTTTTTTTTCTTTTTTTAAAAAATGTATTTATTTATTTATTTGTTTTAATTTTTTTGTTTATTCGAAGATCAACATAAACATATATACTTACAAAAATTCACGTAAGGCATTACAGAAAATAGAGCAATTTAGACATGTGATAAATTGTATAAAAAGGAAAAAGAGTGAATAAAGGGAGACAGTCCCGTCTTCCTGCATGACTCTGTTCTGTAATTACTTGATGGCTTCCCCTTTTCGGGAACAAAACACCTAGCATACAATAATCCTTAGGATCTTAATGCATCAACAAAATAAAATAAAATTGTATGCGTATGTGTTTTAAGTGCAGTTGGAGGACAAAAGAATGAGGTCGGACTTGGCTCGTTACCTGGCCCTGCATAACATTATTTTTTTTTCCAAACAAGTGGGAGTACTTGCGGTTGTATGACTACTTGGTATGGCTCTGAGATGTTTACTGTTGTAGTGCTTGTGGTATTGCGTCTATTGCTTTATAATTGCAGGGGCATCAGGGTGTTACTTGAACCAGTGTAAAGTGTGTCCATTTCTTTAGTTTCCCTTTCAGTCTTGTAATCGTCGCCTCGTGGTCCATAAGGTCATGTCCCCTACGTCGATGGTACAAGTCGGTGGCAGGAGCTCATCATTCCACGGGTTTTACTAGTCTGTTGATGTACTCTGTCACGTTCTGTTTGTAGTTGTCCTTCATAAGTCCTTAACTACAGAATGTTTTGGTCATCGTTTGGCTTGGTGTGTTGTGTGTGTGGGGGGGGGGGGGGGAATTGTAACTTGGCGGTAGGGTGCCAGATCTGTGCATGTACTTATTGAAGAGGGGAATAATCGTGTGGTCTCCCTTTTCACCCGTCGCTCACTGACATCAACAACTGAGTCAGTGAGCGATTTGTCGTCTTGGTGTGTACACACAGTTTTTTTTTAATATACATGTCTCGATGCTGTCGTCTCGTGGTCCCTACGGTCATGTCCGCTGTGTGTATGAGTGTAGTTGGGTCACCGTAGCTCAGACATTCCCCGAGTTTATCTGAGCTATCAGTTGAGTTTGTCACGTCCTAAGTCCTTATGTGCTTTATTTACCCTTCGCTACAGTATCGTCTTTGTCTATGTGTTATGAGGTCATTTCATTGACGTGAGTTTTTAAATTATTATTATCTTCCCTCTCCAGGATACGTGTGGGGAGGGGAGGGGGGATCTTGTAAAACTAGTTTTCAATGTTTAATAACCCACCCAGAGCAGGGGAAGCGCGGGGGGGGGGGGGGGGGGTCGGGTTATCTACTTTTCTTTAGCCGTAAAGCTGTCTCGGGTCCCTTTGGGTTTGACTGCTCTGTCTCTACTTGTACTATATTCTGTAACTTTGTCTACCCTTGGCGTTGAAATATCACTTACTGTTAACATTGCTATTTCAGTTACAACACCTGCTTCCACCCCTCTACTTGTTTACATAAACTCGTCCGTGATATAGATATCTGTTGTAATGTTAATTATGACGACTAATCCAACCTTGATATAACCTCATTCTGCTCATCATTTTTGCTTCTTGAAATTATTTTAAAAAATGTCTTGTAATCTGACATGTGTGATGATGCTGGATACAAATACAACTTCAACCAATCAAATTAAAAATAAATAAAGTTTGTTGCTACAGGGCAGGTAAGTAGGTCACCAACCAGTTATATGGCTCATCTTGGTTTTATTGAGCCGTATAACTTGTTGGTGACCTACTTATCAGCCCTATAGCCTAAATGCAAAAAAAAAAAAACAACGGGATTTCCCATTAACGTGTCGGTATTTATATCTCTCGCCTTGCGTGGCACGAACGAGAGCCAGATATAGAAACATCAAAAATGGCTGCTACAAGTCTGTCGGCAGTAAAAACGTATTAATATTTAGTCTTGTAAGTATTCGGAATTTTTAAAATTTAATTTACGTCTTTTAACAGTAATAAAAGTAATATACATTAAATGAACAGGCGGAACTGCATGTCGTTTTAAAAGAAAGCAACAGTATTAATTTAAGAGTAGGTATATATATATATATATGTATATATATATATATATATATATATATATATATATATATATAATTATATGAAAGTTCCATCAAAAATGTTTTCATTCTTTAGTTCTGTGATAATGACAGTTCAAACATAAATGTTGTAATTTTGTAGTTCTATGCTAATGACAGTTCCACTATAATTGTATTTCTCTCTCCAGATCGTGAAGGATCTTCCATAGTGGTGTTGCTGGCTAATGTTGTCTAATAGTCAAGAGGGGAGTTCAAAGGTCAGTTTCACTCCGAGATGACGATAATTTAGCTCAAGTAGAAGAAATTAATAGAAACAGTTTATAGCCAGTTGGTTAGAGAGACCAATAAAAGTACAGGAGCTGACCGGTCACGTGGGACGATCAGTTGACCACTGGAGCGTGGGTCTGTAGTTAGGCCATCAGTTGGTGTTAGGTATCGGTTAGAGACGGTTGAGATAAGAAGAGCTAGGTAGGAGTTGATAGTTAGCTAGTAAAGAGAACGATCATAATTAGAGGTAGCGAAATTTAGAGACGGTCGGACATATATAGAGCCAGGGAATAGTTAGATAGAAGTGGTAGTAGCACAGTGTAGATTAGTAGATATGAAGTTGATTATGTAAATATTTAATAAAGAACTTTATCATCTTCAAAACCCCCACCCTCAAAACTGGCGGTAGATCTTCCATTCATCCCCCCTCACACTACTCTAAGATTATATTTATATTTTTATTATCTTCTAAAGCTGACCATCATGCTGAATTATGTTTGCCATATCATTGACAAGTGGCTATCGATATGTAGTTTGTAAAGAATCACTGTTTGATGACTAGTCAAGCCAATATATAAACTTGTTTCTTTTAACTGTACAGAGTGACTGACTAGTCAAGCTACCAGATTAACTTCTTTCTTTAAAACGTCAAAATATGTTTAAATATAACAGAGTAACTGACTGCTGCTGAATGTGATGTGAAGGTCAAGGTTATTTCAATCAAACAGCTGCCACAGATGACCATAAGACTACAGTAAAGGCCAGTAGAGATATGTCACATCGAGTTACAGGTAAGTTTGTTAATTATCTTTTAACTTAATGAAGTGTACAGCCTTGGTTTCGTGCTGATGTAGACAATATGTCAAATCTTTGTGTTGTGGTTTATTTAACAGGAATTAAGTTGGATAGTCAAGCTGACCACAACAGTATGGCCAGTGGAGAGGACATATCAACATATTTTACAGGTAATGTCTAAAATTGGTGCTAAAAATACCTATGTGTATGCTTAAAATGTTTCGTGCTGCAGAACATCTTGTGTTTGAACATTCTGTAGTTTGAAATGTTTACTGGATAATTATCTTAACGTGGTAATGATTGAGATGGTTGTGACAGTTGGAGGTTGTTGGTAGTTTTCGTGTTTTATGTTTGTCAAAGTTTAACAGCTAATGACATATTTACAGTAATAAAATTGTTTTGTTTACCTGTACAGGTGCACATGAAGTACAAGAATGTCTTGAAGGTCAAGGTGAGATAGATCTACACACACACTTGGCAAACTGCAAGAAAAATCCTGGCCATAAAAACTTTGTACCTTTAAATCAGTTAAGTCTTGCACATTTTCCATCTGGTTACCATGACAACGATGTGTATGACCTCACAAAAGCCATTGCTGACCTAACTGTCAGGATAGCCGTTAAGTTGACCAGTACAGACAGACCGGAGTTTGTACCAGGCACTAAAGATCCTTACCCTTGCTACGATACCAGGGGACAGAACTCACTGAGTACAGGGACTGGGACGGTATGGGAGGTGACAAAGTACACAGAGGGAATGAAGGGGTATACCTACAGAACATGTCCATGTCCTGAATGTGACCACTCGGACACACCCAGTAAAGTGTGGTGGAGAGTTGATATGGTGACAGCCACTCATGTGGTTTTTGATGAGAGTGAGGCTAGACAGTCCAGCTGTAGGTTGTGGTTTGATGATGATAAAAGTCCAGTGGTCAAGATTTATGGGTGGAAGGTGGTTGCGTCAAAAGCTGATATAGACGGGTGTGTGTTGTGGTGTGCGACACATGACGTAGATGTAGCTGATAAACTGGAGCAGATGACGAGGCGGTTTGATGATCTATGTGGTAAAGTAATTGACAAATACTTGAGTCGTAGAGATGTGGACAAGGTGACCATTATAGTGTCACATCCTCATGGCTGTTCTAAGCAGGTCTCTGTAGGTCACTGGGTGGACAGGCAGGAGGTGGGGTTAGGGACCAGGTACACGTACACAACTTGTACCTGCCCAGGTAGCAGTGGGGCTTGGGTCTACAGACTGGGGGGTGGCAGGTCTCTCCATCCCCACAGTGGAGTTAACTCTTTAGGATTAAATTATAGTGGGGAGTGGATGGACGAATACTTGTAGTTGTCTGCTCTTGTATGGAATGTAAACAAACATGAAGTCTGTTGGGTGTCTGCTCTTAAAATATTTCTTGACATTATTGTAGAGCTTTATTTAACTTGTAATAAATTATCTCGTTATTTTTATCAGAGAAAAAGTTGTTGATTTTTTTATTGGGAATGGAGAAAAAATGTGTCACAAATTTCTTGTAAATATAAACGTAAATCAACAGTTTTAAATCAACTTGTTTTCTTTCTAATTTTTTTTTGTTTAAACTTTGGATCTAGAGACTCTAAATAGTGACGCTAAAGTTTGGATATAGCGACTCAATATTGACGCTAAAATTTGTCAAGAAACAGAAACTACTTCATGTGTCCTATAGATCGACACCTTGATATGACTGTACTTGACTTGAGAATTTAACACTAAAGTCATGATCGATATCGTGTTATGACTGTACTTGACTTGACAATTTTACACTTAAGTCATGATCGACACCTAAATATGACTGTATTTGACTTGACAATTTAAAATTTCAGTCATGATTGACACCTTGATATGACTGTACTTGACTTGACAATTTAACACTTAAGTCATGATCTACACCTTGATATGACTGTACTTGACTTTACAATTTAACACTTAAGTCATTATTTACACCTTGATATGACTTAACACTTAAGTCAAAAGCTAATGTCGTTAAAGTTTTTATTACTGAAAGTCTTTTGTTAAAATTGAACTAAAATGTACAGTGTCTCACAGTAGACACAGATGACACGAAGCAACAAAATAATAAAAAGAAAAAAAAAATTAAGATTGTACTTGGCTCATTTATAAAATGTTTATTAAAATCTATTGTAATACTTTTGATGAAATTAAACCAACATCAGAACAGAAGATTGAACTGTATTGTACATATACTGTCTGATGGTTACCTGGGCACGTAAGTAAGGTGTAAGAGCACAGTTGGGTTAGACGTACCATTTTTTGTGTTGTTCCTTTTACACATTTGATGTGAAACATAAATCAATCTAACATTTCACCAGCTGACTATTTATATAGTAATAAAGAGTTATAAACCTCCATCTTCATACAGTGGCTAGCATTACCTGCTATCTATAAACAGTTCTAAACATTCATTTTCATACAATGGCTAACATTACCTGCTATCAATAAACAGTTCTAAACCTCCATCTTCATACACTGGCTAACATTACCTGATATTATTTGCTTACAATGTTTATAGCTCATGGTTTTATTGTGGTTGATTAATTTAGAACTATTTCACATCCTACATTTATTGCACCCGCTCTCTTTATTTTACTGTTGTAATGTTTGGTATAAGAGCACCATAGTTCATCTTTTGATTTAGGTTAATACCTGCCATTTTAAACTTTTGTTTTCAATTGTTCTATTCAGTATGAAGATCTCTGAAGGTTTGGAGATGTCGTTGGCAAGTTTTTTTTTTAAAAATGATTCTCGCTGTCATTCTCAAGACATCTTATACATTATCATTGTGTATGTAAAGCTCCTAAGACACTGTAAGACACTAGCACATAAGACAGTTGCTATAAGACACTAGCCCATAAGACAGTTGCTGTAAGACACTAGCCCATAAGACAGTTGCTGTAAGACACTAGCCCATATATATATATATATATATATATATATATATATATATATATATATATATATATATGGCCATGCATTAAACGGATAGCTTATCGACATTTATAAATGAAAACATGTTATACATTATTTACTCATCACCCTAGGCTTTAGATAAGAATAAGCATTCATCTTTGTACAGCAAGCGACTGTGGCTTCCCTAACTACGTATACTAACGTAGGCTAACCTAAATTTAGAAAAAAAAATTATATCCGTTTATAAATTGTTTGGCATGTAATATATTTAAATATTTTTCGAACAGCAAGCCCACTTAACCACAGTATAAAAAAGTAGCCTAAATTTTATTTTTGATGTTTTTTGATGAATATATTCTACTGACTAGAATAGTTATGTTTTAAATAATGAGGTCAAAACATATGATTGTTTTTTTTTTTATCCGTCATCAACATTTTAAATTTAATTTTCTTTTTCAATAAAACATAGCCCCTGTTTGTACACTACCAAGAGACGCCCCTTCAACAAACCAAACCTAACTCAATTACAGATGTATTCATTAAATTACTTTGTGGACATGATGATTGATGGGGAAGTTTTCTATCCTGCTAGCTTTTCACTTAAGTGACACTTGTAGAAAGATTCAAAAAATTATTTATATCTATTTAAAACGAGAAGTATATATTTTTGTAAATGTTCGAGTGACAAAAGCATTGAAAATGCTGTTAAACTTTCTTCATATAATGGAACGCAAGCTACATATAGCAGAAAAGGAGCTTAACAATTTATTTTTGTCATACCCTAATGGTATTTTCTAGATGCGAGGATTGAACACCAAATATATTAATAAAGACCTCCGGACACGGGTCATACAAATTAGATGTCTGATGTCTAATGTCTGATGTCTGATGTCTGATGTCTGATGTCTGATGTCTGATGTCTGATGTCTGATGTCTGTTGTCTGATGTCTGATGTCTGATGTCTGATGTCTGATGTCTGATGTCTGATGTCTGGACAGAAGAATGTAAAACATGTATTAACATAATCGGCCTTTAAAAAGATTTGCTTGGCAATGAATTGGTAAAAAAAAATCTTAGTTATTATTGACACGAGATATATTCCGCGACTTTTCGAAGGCAGCCCTGGTAAAAGAGAAAGGGAGAAAGGGAGAGGGGGGGGGTGTTGGTACCCTATTTAAGGTGCCTGGGCAATATGTGGGACTGGGCTAGATTTTGTTTACAGAAGCATTGATGGCATCAGAGCACCGGACCTGGCAAGGCGATGCGAAAGAGCCAACTTTGTTACCCAACATCTAAAGGTCTGAAATGGTGTAATGTACTAGGGTTTCAAAGACTCTTCCTGTAAGCATACAACAGAACAACCATTTAATTCAGGTGTTTAGCAAAACCATTTAGAAATGGCCAATGAATTAACAAATCGCAGGCGTATATTAGAAAAGGCTCTTATTTATCTTCAAGGGTATTAACCAATCATTTATGTCCATCAATACAATATGCGGCGACTGTTGACAAAAACTATTAATGTACTTAATACGCCAAATATATTAATCATCAAGCCAAACCTCAACATTTCAAAAAATTGCATTCAAATTATAAAAGGGAGGCGTGATCTAACGATCGAGAGCTAGGCAGCTAACCCAGAAGTCTTGAGTGCGAATCCGGGTTCAAATCAGTAGAACGTCCCCGAGACCACCCAGATATGATGGGTACTTAGCTCACGTTTGTGAAATAAAGGCGGCTGGGCATAGTGCTGACCACATTATCCGCTTGTATGCCGAAGTCATTAAAACTGATGAACTCTACTTCATCTGCTCTATATTAGTCACAAACGGGAAAAAGAGAGAGAGAGAGAGAGATTATTTTAAAAATATACCATGGCTTAATAAATAAAAACTATATTTACATTACATTTTTGATCAACAATAACAATATTCTGACTGAGGTGGTTATGATTAGATGGATACTTTTCCAAGCGTAATTTACTATTGCGGCAACAACATTGGACGATTAAACAGATTTTTTTGCCATGCTATCGGACCACGCTGTCCCAAGACTAGGTGCTGTAAACTAAACGGACAAATGTTGTTACACCTATTATCTGTTTTTTAAATACGTATTAGTAGAAACGTGTCCTAACTTATTCTCATTTCCATTACTGGACTATGTGCAACTGGTATTGAAAGATTTTGTTTACATCATGTCAATGTTATATATATATATATATATATATATATTTAGATGTGAATGATAAAGTTGCCTATCGGGACTAGACGCGACACAGGGCAAATGAAGTAGAGTTTACCTGATTCTGTGTCTTCAGTATATGAAGAGATAGTGTGGTCAGTGCCATGCCCGACCGAATTTTTTTCTAAATTAAAAAAAAAACATGTTGTCTGTGACTTGGTGGGACACTGGGGAGGTAAAGTAGAGTTAGGTAGGTGTAGAATTCACTTGTGACACCAATATATGAAGGAATAGTTTTCAGACCCATGCTTAGCCGAAATCGGAGTTTTTAAAACACAAAAACGTCTGAGGGGTGTGACGTCTTTTTGAATGTGGGGTCTGCTTTTTTATGACGATAAGTGACAGACGTGATGTCATTTATGTTATCAATCAAGGTAATGAATGTTGTAATATATAACCACCTAGAATTGATTAAAACAAGGTGGGGGTGAAGCGGAGGGTGAGGCTAAATTAAATTTACTAATTTACTTTTAAAACACGGCTGCTCATTTTTATTTTGACAATGACCATGAGCAATAGATAACACTCAAACAATTAATTAAGCAAAGATTCTTCTCTTATGTGTATGAAAATTTGCCTGTATATCTTTCTCTAGAAAGTTTTTTTTTTATCGATGTTTTAAAACTATCTTATCTGCTTATCAGTGTAGGCTATTTATTCACACGTAATAGCTTCTATTTGTATAAAGGTTAGATATAGTGGTTTGTGGGCTGGATGTTGAGCTGTGTTTGTAAGCTGAGGTGTAACTATAAGTTGATTTTTTTTATTTTATGTTGACGTATAATTGTAAGTTAAATTGTAATAATTGTAAATTGAGGAGTAAACGTTTGCAAAAGTAAATTACAAAAATCACAATGGGATAAAGCAGTTGATAAGATGATTCTTGATAAATGACAAGCAAGACTCTTACACGTGACATGATGGACACTGACAGATCACATGGTGGACACTGACAGATCACGTGGTGGATACTGACCAGATGGATACTGACCAGATGGATACTGACCAGTTGGACACTGACCAGTTGGATACTGACCAGTTGGATACTGACCAGTTGGATACTGACCAGTTGGACACTGACCAGTTGGATACTGACCAGTTGGATACTGACCAGTTGGATACTGACCAGTTGGATACTGACCAGTTGGACACGTCATATTAAAAACCCCACTACAGTAAAGTCTCATTTAAACAACAGACTGACAAAAACCCACTTGTAATGAGATTTTAAACCAGTTCAGTTTTCACAATTGATGTGCTAAGGAGATAACACAAGAATCTCTCTAGATGACGCGAAACGTCTATTTTTATACAACACTTCGCTTTAAGATTGACAAAAAAGTTAAGTGGAAATACATTGGTATTTTTATGTTTACGTTTTTTTAAAAATGGTGTCAGTGTTTTGTATTAGAGGTTTAGGCAGAAGGGCAGAAGTTAGTGTCGGCCTCTTTACACAACACATATATCTGTAAAGTAGAGTCCTGTTGGGAAATATTTTTTAAATGATCTTTTCTTGTTGATAAAAAAGAAATGAACAACTATAGGCCTACAACTTTAAACTCTTGACAACTGTATGTAAGGGAAAACGATGTTACGCTTTTTTGTACATCCACGTGAGGATCAGGTTCTATACAGATTATGTTGAAACAAATCTATCATGTGAAGCAACATAATGACGAACAATACTAAAACTTGTTAGCATACATATTCATAATTTCTACACACTTGCACTAAACAACTCAGTCAGACTTACACCGACAGGACAGGATTAAGTAATGGCAACATGCCAGTCTCTCACGGACAGAAACAGGACGTAAGGCCACGGAAACAGAATCTAGGTCACTGAAGAGGACAACATATGACCGTACAGGACAAGTGGCCACTCTACAGGACAACAGGTCACGTCTACAGAACATCAGATATCATAAAACCAAAGTGTGAAGCATTTAGCATTTTAAACACAACATAATTTACACATTAAAAAGCAAACCCCATCAATGTACTAGTCGACAACAATACACGAACAAAGCTAATAAAAAAAATGATATACACAATTTACCAGTTTTATGTTGTAAATGTCAAACTTATTTGGGTTTTGAGACAGGGGCGGTCTGTGTGCTACATATACCACGTTACAGTTGTTTTTTTTTGGCAGGAGTTAAATAGAAAAATGGAATTTATCCAGACGATTTGGGTTTTACATTGCTTCCGCATAAACTTCCACTATTTTGTATACAACATACACGAACTTGTTATATATTAAGCTGTATCTGCATAATGATATTGATAAAAATATGTTGGCTTATTTCACGAAAACAAAATTCACATCCTCTTTGCGCCTAGACTATTTATCGTGTTATTTTAATCCAACACCACCTCTCTTAAAAAATAACCTGAGAACCATCGATAGTCTCACCTTCTGCCCCTACCCAGCTAGTTGTGTCCCATAGCTACAAACATTGAAGTAAAAAGATTTTTTAAGTTGGTAGAGCACAGCCAGATGTAAGACATTGATATTTGTAAAGCTATTTTAAATAAATAAAAACGTAAACTATATTTTTACGATCGTTGATGTGAAGCATTTCTATTTTTACTTTCTCGTATATACGAAGTATAGAGAAAGTATTGTAATCGTGCAAAAAAATCGAGATTTTTACAAATCTCGAAGTTTTACACCTCACTAATACGGAAAAACATAATTTTGAAATCTTGCCCGTATATCTGTGTGTCTGTCTGTGTGTCTCTGTGTGTGTGTGTGTGTGTGTGTAAACACGATAACTTGAGTACAGTTACAGCTAGATTGATGAAATTTCATATATATATACGTATTTTATCAAAATCGTAGATCCGTTTCAACTTCTGAGCGATTTCCGATAATCAGAAGTGATACTTTTTTCTACTTTGAATTTTTCAAAAGCCTAAAACTTAAGTACTTTTTCAAATATATAAATGAAATTTCACATGTAAGTAAAAGAGAAAATTCTCTACCTTCTGTCAAATTTTGCGTAATTTTCCGTTGAATGGAAGTACTAATTTACGCTATTTCCGATTTCTCAAAAAAAACCGCATGTAAATTGATATAGTACTAATTATATTGCGCACTATTATGAACATCTTTATTTGGCGTTCACTTGGTGTGCTATTCTTTTTTCTAAAAGATTGTATTCTATTTATAAAAGGTTAAGTATTTAAAATGGATTAAATTCGTGCCTATATTTCGAGTTGCCATCCCCTGTTGTTTCATATAAGAATATTCGAGAAAGTTTAGGGGAGATCACTCCCGGTTTATTTAAATACGTTTTATTTTAAAATTCAAATTGTAGAGGAACAACATGCTAGTTATAAAATATTGTTTAAAATACAAACTAAACATACATTAAAAATAATAAACTAAATGTTGAATTTAGAAGAATAATTAGCTATATCACCCCCCTTTCCGAATAGACTTACAAGAGGTTTACACATGTAGCACAGACAAGGATGTGTTTTGCTAAATGGTCCACTCCACTTACTGCGTCATTGGTAACGCCCACTGAGTCAGGCTGTGTGAAAAACCGTTTAAAAAGTCAGCAGCCATTTCTTAGCATTGGTCAACCGTGTACAACAGACTTAGATAAGGTTTGTCATGTATTCACGTCAATAGTTTTTGTATTACTCATTTTTCTAATGTATGCATAGCTGGTATAACTAATGACTACACTAGCCTTAAAACTATGAAACTAAAATGCCAGAATTTCAGCCAACATAAAAAAAAAACCTGCAGTTCTAGATCTATAGATATATTGTGTTGTCAGCAACATAAAGTGTAAGTAAGACTAAACTAAAAATATCACTGTGACGCCATTAGCCTATAAAATTTATTGCAGAAATTAATGCCCTTTTACTTCACGTCTTTAAGTGGTACACCATGTGGCCTTATTGGCTAGAGCCAGTGCCAGCAACGTATTCGGCCGGCGACTAAGCAACCGGACATCGTAGTCCGGTCTGCAACATTAGACAGTGGTGTCATTCTGTAGTTCTATGCTAATGACAGTTCCATCATAAATGATGTCATTCTGTAGTTCTATGCTAATAACAGTTCCATCATAAATGTTGTCATTCTTTAGTTCTATGCTAATGACAGTTCCATCATAAATATTTTCATAATGTACTTCAATGCTAATTACAGTTCCATCATAAATGTTGTCATTCTGTAGTTCTATGCTAATGACAGTTCCATCATAAATGACGTCATTCTGTAGTTCTATGCTAATAACAGTTCCATCATAAATGTTGTCATTCTGTAGTTCTATGCTAATAACAGTTCCATCATAAATGTTGTCATTCTTTAGTTCTATGCTAATGACAGTTCCATCATAAATATTGTCATAATGTACTTCAATGCTAATGACAGTTCCATCATAACTGTTGTCATTCTGTAGTTCTATGCTAATGACAGTTGCATCATAAATGATGTCATTCTGTAGTTCAATGCTAATGACAGTTCCATCATAAATGTTGTCATTCTGTAGTTCTATGCTAATGACAGTTCCATCATATATGTTGTCATTCTGTAGTTCAATGCTAATTACAGTTCCATCATAAATATTGTCATAATGTACTCCAATGATAATGACAGTTCCATCATAAATGTTGTCATTCTGTAGTTCTATGCTAATGACAGTTCCATCATAAATGTTGTCATTCTGTAGTTCTATGCTAATACCAGTTACATCGTAAATGTTGTCATTCTGTAGTTCTATGCTAATGACAGTTCCATCATAAATGTTGTCATTCTGTAGTTCAATGCTAATGACAGTTCCATCATAAATATTGTCATAATGTAATTCAATGCTAATTACAGTTCCATCATAAATGTTGTCATACTGTAGTTCTATGCTAATGACAGTTCCATCATAAATGTTGTCAATCTGTAGTTCAATGCTAATTACAGTTCCATCATAAATATTGTCATAATGTACTTCAATGCTAATTACAGTTCCATTATAACTGTTGTCATTCTGTAGTTCTATGCTAATGACAGTTCCATCATAAATATTGTCATAATGTACTTCAATGCTAATTACAGTTCCATCATAAATGTTGTCACTCTGTAGTTCTATGCTAATGACAGTTCCATCATAAATGTTGTCATTCTGTAGTTCTATGCTAATGACAGTTCCATCATAAATGTTGTCATTCTGTAGTTCTATGCTAATAACAGTTCCATCATAAATGATGTCATTCTATAGTTCTATGCTAATGTGAGTTCCATCATAAATGATGTCATTCTATAGTTCTATGCTAATGACAGTTCCATCATAAATGATGTCATTCTGTGGTTCAATGCTAATGACAGTTCCATTATAAATGTTGTCATTCTATGGTTCTATGCTAATGACAGTTCCATCATATATGTTGTCATTCTGTAGTTCTATGCTAATGACAGTTCCATCATAAATGATGTCATTCTGTAGTTCTATGCTAATGACAGTTCCATCATAAATGATGTTAATCTGTAGTTCTATTTTATTTCTCTCTCCAGAGCTTGAAGGATTTTCCATAGTGGTGTGTGCTGTCTGATGGCTTTAAGTCAAGTGGGGAGTTCAAAGGTCAGTTTCACTCTATCTGGTATGTTGGTCTAGACTAAGATTATTTTTTTAATTATTCTCTAAAGCTGACCATCATGCTGTATTCTGTGTGCCATATCATTGACCAGTGGCTATTGTTATGTAGTTTGTAAAGAAACACTGGTTGATGACTATTCAAGCTACCATATAAACTTCTTTCTTTAAAAAGTCAAAAAATTTGTAACTATAACAGAGTGACTGACGGCTGCTAAATCTATTGTGAAGGTCAAGGTTATTTCAATCAAACAGTTGCCACAGATGACCATAAGACTACAGTAAAGGCCAGTAGAGATCTGTCACATCAAGTTACAGGTAAGTTTGTTAATTATCTTTTAACTTAATCAAATGTACAGCCATGGTTTCGTGCTGATGTAGACAATGTGTCAAATCGTTGCGTTGTGGTTTATTTAACAGGAACTAAGTTGGATAGTCTAGATGACCACAACAGTATGGTCAGTGGAGAGGATAGTCTAGATGACCACAACAATATGGCCAGTGGAGGGGATAGTCTAGATGACCACAACAATATGGCCAGTGGAGAGGATAGTCTAGATGACCACAACAGTATGGCCAATGAAGAAGACATCTCAACATATTTTAGAGGTAACGTCCATTTGTTTGTGAAAAAGTGGTCCTAAAAAACATCTACCTGCATGCTTAAAATGTTTTGTGCTGGTGAAGTCCTTATGTTGGAACATTCTGTAGTTTGAAATGTTTACTGGATGGGTATCTTAAGATGGTGAAGGTTGAGATGGTTGTGACGATTGGAGGTTGTTTTTCATGTTTTATGTTTGTCAAAGTTAAACAGCTAATGAAATGTTTACAGTAGTAACATTGTTTTGAATACCTGCACAGGTACACATGAAGTACACGAATGTCTTGAAGGTCAAGGTGAGATAGATCTACACACACACTTGGCAAACTGCAAGAAAAATCCTGGCCATAAAAACTTTGTACCTGTAAATCAGTTAAGTCTTGCACATTTTCCTTCTGGTTACCATGACAACGATGTGCTTAACTTCACAAAAGCGCTGGCTGACATAACTGTCAGGATAGCCGTTAAGTTCACCAGTCCAGACAGACCAGAGTTTGTACCAGGCACTAAAGATCCATATCCTTGTTACAACACCAGGGGACAGAACTCACTAAGGACAGGGACAGGGAAGGTGTGGGCAGTGTACAAGTACACAGAGGGGATGGTCCAGTTAAAGCCTCCCTACAGAACTTGTCCATGTCCTGAATGTGACCACTCGGACACACCCAGCAAAGTGTGGTGGAGGGTTGCTGTGATGACAGCCAAGCATGTGGTTTTTGATGATAGTGAGGCGAGACAGTCCAGCTGTAGGTTATGGTTTGATGATGATAAAAGTCCAGTGGTCAAGATTTATGGGTGGATGGTGGGTGATCTAGACCCCACTGAGAAAGACACGTGTTGGTTCGATTGTGTGACACACGACGTAGATGTAGCTGAAAAACTGAAGGAGATGAAGAGGCGGTTTGGTGATCAATGTGAAGTAATGGACAAATACAAGAGTCGTAGAGATGTGGACAAGCTGACCATTATAGTGTCACATCCTCATGGCTGTTCTAAGCAGGTCTCTGTAGGTCACTGGGTACACAGGCAGAGGTCGGGGTATATAGAGACCAAGTACACGTACACAACTTGTACATGTCCGGGTAGCAGTGGGGCTTGGGTCTACATACTGGGGTATGTCTTGTCTGAACATCCCCACAGTGGAGCAAACTCAAGTGGATTAAATTATAGTGGGGTGGACACGGACTCGCGATGTGTTATTTTGTACTGAATGTAAACAAACATGGCGTCTGTTGGTTGTTTGTCTTTTCTAGAATGTAAACAAATATTGCGCTTGAATGATGTCTGCCCTTAAAATATTTCTTGACATTATTGTAGAGTTTTGTTACGCTTTAAATTTATTTTCTCTTTATTTTATCAGATAAAAAGTTGTTGATTGTTTGTTTGGAAGTGAGGAAAAAAAATGTGTCGCAAATTTCTTGTAAAATTATAAACGTGAACAAAAAATTAATCATCTCGTTTTCTTTTTCATTTTTGTTTGTTTGAATCTAAGGATTCTCAAAATTGACGCTAAAGTTTGGATCTATAAAATTTAATAGCGAATTAAAAATGTATTCTAATTTCACATATTTTCGTTATTTCTATAGCAACCTTAACTTCTAATTGCGTCTTTCTGCTATTTTGTTCTATAAAGAAAATTATATTAATATATGGATACATCAAAAACCATTAAACATATTAAAGAAAAACAATTTTTTTATGTCCTGTCTGTTTTAAATTCAAGTTTATTTCGATGACTCAAAAATATATCGCTTCTCTATTTCTATTAGAATTCTCGGCCTAAAACTAACCCTAAAGTAAAAACACATGTTTAATACCTAGTAGATTATATATGACTATACGTCATTGTGTGTATAACATTTGCTGATAAAATGGATCGATAACATGATTTGTATGGATATCCCACTTAATTGCTTTGGATAACGGAAATAAAGAGATCAATGTTGATTTGTTTTGTCCTCAGTCAGTAGACGAATATATTGTATGATCTATTTCAGCGTGTTGTAGGGCTAGCCTCATAGTGTTGGCTGTGTGTTTTGTTTTAGAATTATTCAATAACGTTAGGGTAACGTGATTTAAGAGATGGATCTGTACTCTGAGCAAAAGTTGTGAGTAGATGTGTGTGATGTTAGAAAAAAAAATAGTGGATGTCATTATATTTATTAAGCCAAATACTTTTTGTGTGTAATGCATTCCGAAAATGATTGCATGATTGTTTATTGAGTTAGATGTGGCTGTAGTTGTTGATTGAACAGAAGGGGTCGGCGTTGTCGAGTCGGTAAAGGCTATGGAATAAAATACAAAAATAAAAGTAGGTTGGAATCGGAGTCAATGGCTTCAATGGCACATAACCAGTTGACACCTATACTAAATTGTGTTGGAGGGGATCCCTTTCAACTAAGAACGAAGACGTAGAAGAGATTGACCAGAGTGTCACTTATCTATTTATTTATTTTTTTGCTTATACTATGTTGTTATTTATGACAAAGTCCTTGTGTGTCTATTTATAATATATAGCTTATAGTTGAAAAAAAAATTAAACACACGTCTACATTCTCACGCTTCTAGGGCGATATCACGTTTTGTATTCGCTTATGGTTGCTCCTGAACATCAAATTCAGCCAACTTTTAAAGCCAATATTCGCTAACTCCAGTCAGTGATCCATCTCCAAAATAAACAAAAAACATGAAATATAATGATTGATCGCTCACACATAATTCACTCCTCCTAACACAATACACAACAACATAATATCGATACATACATGTTGTATTGATAAAAGTGTTATTCTTAACGATATGGTTATTGTATTACTGCAACGTTTTCAACCCTAGACGTGTGCTTAGAATTGAATTTAATAATATATGCAGGTGTACAAGGAAATATGTATTAATATTATTTTAATATTTTAATACAAAGTTTCTTTGATATATTATTGCATTATTTGCTAATATAAACCTGTGAAAATTATAAACCTCAATAGCAATTAAACAATCAAGGGAATCAACTCAATAACTTTGCGCAAAAAAGTAGTTACAGATAAAGAATAATTCACAATTCATTAAAATAACTTTTTAAAAATAAATTTTAGAACATAAAATATAGTTTTAATAAAACGTACATTTCAATACGTTTGATGTGCACATGTAAAATCTTATTATTGTATATTCGTTTTATCGTACAAATGTTTCAATATGATGTAGTTACTTTTTTATCTTGGATCGTTTCGTAAAATGTTTACTCTGCTTTCTGCAAAGATTTATCTCTGGTTATTATATGTTGTTATATTTACACTAAAAAAAAGAGCACTTCTGTTTACGATGGGATTAATTTCATCTCTACTTATTTAAACTTGTGTGTATTTCCATTTGGAACCGTATGAGTGTGTGTTGTTTTTTTCACATTTTATACATTGTAAGTACTTTTACTTTTTTTTCTTTTTTGTGTGTGTTGCCTGGCCCCGGATGGGCCTCACGCACAACTATGTCGGAAAAATACATCAAACGGCTATTCCTGCCTAAGTTTGGCATGACAGGACATGCGCATAAAAACTCTAGAGATTTTCTTAGAAGAGGGTTTTTCTTTAGCTACCCTCACAGCTGACGAACTAAAAAGAGAGCTATGTATGTTATGTAGCCTATCACCAGCTGAATTTGAAGGTCTGTGTAACTAAGGGACTCTGCGTAAATGATATGTCACCATTAGATCAAAGGAACTATATGAGAAAATGCACCTAAAAGAATTTCACAGAGATTTGCCACCCGGGGTAACATCCAGATACAGAGTACAGAGAATATCAATAACCCACGCCGATAAATCTGGGCAAAGGGGCATGCTGAAATGGCTGCCTTCCAAGACAAGCGACGATGATATAATGGCGATGTCACCATCTATCATTATACATTATCTGTTACTGCAATTGTGTCCTATAGAAGACATCACTACCAACAGCAATATAACCACGCAATCTACTCCACAATGTTTATCGTCACTCACCTCATTAAATAATTCTTTACTTTATCACCCACACCATAACCATTTAACTTTCTAATGCAAAAACTATCCACCCCTCACATCATTACCATCACACACCCACATTACAAACACCATCACATTTACAATTTTTTGATTCACCACACCTAGTACCTTATCAAGACTCATATTATGGCTGTTTGTCTACTACTATACACATGTGTTAAAAGTTGCATAAATATACTTTGCAGCTAGTCTATCTTTAAATCTCTATACAAATAATATGGGCATGTATTAGAAATGTTTTTTGCATGTAGTAAATCCCTTATACACAATAATAAAATACACTGCATGTACTGGTAACCTAGATCTAAACCTAAGTTAAATGTTGTTTTAATATAACGACACACTAAAACTAAAGCTTCTTAACGTAATGTCACGTGCATTCATTAGAACATCCACTCACTTTTTGAAAAGGAGATAACATAGTGTTCACATCTACGACTACATACAGACATTTACTGAATAACGGTTGTGTCGTTTCCATAACTGCACTTCGGTTATATTTGCCTACATCCAGCTAGTCAATATGTTATGAACATGATTTATGTTATCCTGCTAGTCGATATGTTATGTACATGATGCTTAAGAATCAACTTTTAGTGAACAGGATCTTAAGTGCGATATTAAAAAAAAAACAAAAGCAAATTCAAGTTTAACAAAACACATTAATGATGGCAATTAAAAAAAAAGGTGTATTTCTCTTTTTATATTAAACGATATTTGATACTTATGTATTTATGTTTGCATTCACAAGACACACTGTTAAGTGGTTTCCTTAATGTATGTGTTGAATAATTTTCTTGAATTGAACAATTTAATACACATCATTTCATATAAGACATATTTAAAGCACCTCTATATATCAAATCAATGTATTCTTAAACTAGACCTAATGGTGTATATCTAACATGTTCCTGTTGACACAATTTTGTTCAGAAATGTATACATTAAATCAGTTTGCTTTTCGGCTTTTTGGCTAAGATCAAAGTGTAATATCGGTTATTTATTACGCGGATCCTAGTCATTTGGTTAGGGTAGATTGATGGCCCTAGAGGCGGCCATATCAACTCATCAAACATCAAATACAAACCAAGACGGCTGTGGGATAGCGCCCACACTTAATCATTTGTAATGTATGTGTTATATATGCTAAATTTTCATGTGCACCCAACATTAACGGATATCAGCTGTTATTGTGGAACTCTACATTCTAAAGCCCATTCATCTGTAAATACACTACTGAACTGCAACAATTCAACTATAACCTCCAACTACGCAACGATCTAATTCTAAACTTCCTGCTCAGCCTCACATGACTTATCATCTAACTTCTCATTGGTCAGGTTATTAATCTTTCAACATGTTTCTAGCTACTGACCTAACAAGTCCTAATCTAAACAAATATATCTCCTCCCCTTGAGGAATATCTGTTACATACATTTTACGACAGCAAAGGTTTGTTTTGATAGCCTCACTATTTTAAAGTGTGTAACTGCTACACAAGTTTGGATAACCTCGGTACAATTGTGTGATAGCTACTGTATGTGAAACGCTTAACTTTAAAAAAAAAAAACTGTACACACTATGACGACAAATCGCTCACTGACTCAGTTGTGAAATAGTACTCAAGTTATAGGCTCTTGAAAAATTCGTGGTAGAAAAAGTACAACTTCCGGTTATCGGAAATCGCTCAAAAGATAATATGGATCTACGATTTTGATAAAATACGTATATATGAAATTTCAACAACCTAGCTGTAACGGTACTCAAATAATCGTGTTTACACACAGACACACACACACACAGACACACAGACACAGAGACATACGGACAGAATTGCAAAGTCCAGTTTTTCAGACTTGATTACGTATAAAACCTCTTAATTTTGATAAATCTGGATTGATAATGTTTGCCCGATTAAAATAAGTCCTCTATACTTCGGATGTGATGAAGGACTGAGGTGTAATACGGTGAAAATTGTTAAAATTTCAAGTGATTTTTGTGCACGATTACAATACTTTCTCTATACTTCGTATACACGAGAAAGTAATAAAAAAGCATTAGCCTTTTTAAAAGTACCAAAATTTCATCTGGCGGAGGATTTTTGGGTTACCATGAAAAGCAAAATTGTTTTCAACCATTTTTTAGCTGTTCAATACTTTTATATCCCAAACATGATAAAAGTATTCAAAGCGCTTTAGATATTAATTTGGAAAAAAATAGTGAAAAAACCGCGCATACCCCGGTAAATTGAAATGCATGGCTACAAACCTCAATTTTATACCCCACATATACAAACCTGCAACTCCCTCCCAAATGTCTACCCTCCTCGACATCCCATCTTAATAAACAACCAACATTTGTCAAAGTTTTAATAATATATTTTACCTTAAATACATTTCATTTGTTCATCTAATTAATCTTTAATCAATGTGGTGTTGCTAACACTGTACGTTTTTGGTTTTCATCCAAGAAACTTTGGGAACTCGTTGAGAATTCTCCAGGCAGTGTTTTTATTTTTTCACAACTTTTGTGAAAAGGTGCCTTAAAGAAACTCAGACTTTTGGTAAGATTTCTGCCATTAATTTTTTATTTTATTTCGGAGGACGCACATTAAGGCGGCCTGCCGGCAGTAAATCGGTGCGGTTCGCCATCCAGAGTTTCCCAGCGGCTATATTTAAAGCTCAGTCTCGTTGATTGGTGTCCGACGCAGCGGGTCAGTGCTACTACTTTATTCAGCGGTCAAATTGCACAGGTGCACCAGCCGGCGGTCGTGTAATCCAGTGCGCCTATATTCGTTTTAATAAGCGCCACACAGAGAGACACTAAAATCGATTACTAAATAAAATAAAGGACGTCCTCCAGGGAATAAGCAAGATAGAATAAAGGACGTCCTCCAGCGA